TAAGAATAAATACCCAAAAAAAAAAAAAAAAACTAAGATCATGACAAACAGTCCAAACCAACAACCAGTGACCATAAGTAACCAACTACTTGAAAATGTAGAACATTTCACACATCTTGGCAGTGTGGTGTCCCTACTGGGAGGGACAGAGGAAGACATACAGTCACGTCTGAACAAAGCTAGAGCTGCTTTTGGAAGGATGAGGCAAATCTGAAAATCCAACAATTACTGCAGAGGAACAAAACTCCGACTCTACAAGAGCATCATTTTGCCAGTTCTTCTTTATGGAGCGGAATGCTGGAGAATGACCCAAAAAAATGCACACAAGCTGTTCACCTTCCACCACACATGTCTACGCAGAATTATCAAAATTTTCTGGCCAGATACAATCTCAAACACTAAACTACTTCAAGCCACAAACCAAGAAACTTTAGACAGTATGATTACCAAGAGAAGATGGAGATGGCTTGGCCACGTAATGAGAATGACTTCTGATATACCTGCCAAAACAGCTCTCACATGGACACCAGAGGGAAAGAGAAAACAGGGGCGCCCAAAAACAACATGGAGACGAACAATGGAAAGTGTCCTGAGTGCGGCAACTATGACATGGAAAACTGCACTGAAGATTGCACAGGACAGGAAAGCATGGAAAGTCCTCTCTGAAGCCTCATGTGCCACTAGGCTTAACGAGAACTGATGATGATGATGATTAGCTTTTTAGTTAGTTAGTTAGTTAGTTAGTTAGTTAGTTAGTCAGTCAGTCAGTCAGTCAGTCAGTCAGTCAGTCAGTCAGTCAGTCAGTCAGTCAGTCAGTCAGTCAGTCAGTCAGTCAGTCAGTCAGTCAGTCAGTCAGTCAGTCAGTTAGTTAGTTAGTTAGTTAGTTAGTTAGTTAGTTAGTTAGTTAGTTAGTTAGTTAGTTAGTTAGTTAGTTAGTTAGTTAGTTAGTTAGTTAGTTAGTTAGTTAGTTAGTTAGTTAGTTAGTTTGTTAGTTTGTTAGTTAGTTAGTTAGTTAGTTAATTAGTTAGTTAGTTAGTTAGTTAGTTAGTTAGTCAGTCAGTCAGTCAGTCAGTCAGTCAGTCAGTCAGTCAGTCAGTCAGTCAGTCAGTCAGTCAGTCAGTCAGTCAGTCAGTCAGTCAGTCAGTCAGTCAGTCAGTCAGTCAGTCAGTCAGTCAGTTAGTTAGTTAGTTAGTTAGTTAGTTAGTTAGTTAGTTAGTTAGTTAGTTAGTTAGTTAGTTAGTTAGTTAGTTAGTTAGTTAGTTAGTTAGTTAGTTAGTTAGTTAGTTAGTTAGTTAGTTAGTTAGTTAGTTAGTTAGTTAGTTAGTTAGTTAGTTAGGTGGGTGGGTTATCATCATTGCACTCCAGAGGTATCCATATAAGTAGTGGTTTGGCTAAAATGTTTGCGGTATTTTTGTACACAACCCATTTCGCAATCAATTAACTCGGTCTTTGCTAGTGACAAAGCTGAAATGCGGATATGAGTTGATCCGAAAGTATGTATATACTGTTGTAAATATAACTGAAACAGTTTCAGACAGGACAACTGAGTACTGCTCTCCGATTCTCCTTAAGTCTATACGTGCTTATTGTGTCTGTAGAAACTACAACTGCCAAAATACAAAACATCCTTCAACTTATGTTTCTAATTTGTGGCTTCAAATGTTGTAACTAGGGCTATACCGAATATTCGCTTCGTGTTCGCTTTGGGGCCGAATATTGGACCTATTGACTATTGGGTATTCGGCCGAATAGTTGCGGTCGTACCGAATACGAATAGTAGTTACCTTACACTCGCTTATGTATTGGTTTTGTTGACAGCTAATGCAGCTTTCATGCATTAACTAATTTGTCAGTGACAATTTCCAAGTTTGGGTACTTGTTTTAATTCCTAGTTATTAGTTACCACAGACTGACTGAAGGATGCAAAACATAAAATGTTTTTAAATGCTTACTATTCTGTACGAATACTAACTAGACATGGAAAGAATTTTAACTCCGGCCACGTCCAAGTCGATAATATGAAACTCGAACGAATCGAAACATAAAAGTACTTAAGTGCAAACTTAACTGCTGCAACATGCTGAGAGAAGAAATACAATCTAGAATTCAATCTAGAAATAAAGTATACTATGCCCTTCAACATCTGCTAAAGTCAAAATGTCGGTCTCGCAACACCAAGATCAAAATATATAAAACGTTGATAAGACCAATCGTTTTATATGGCTCTGAAACTTTAAGAAGAAATAAAAAAGATGAGGCCTTATTACAGGTTTTCGAAAACAGTCTTACGACAAATCTTTGGACCCATCAAAGATGCTAACAGCAGGGAATGGAGAGTGAGAAGCAACAACGTAACACATAACCTGTTTAAATCACCATTGATCACTGGCATCATGAGAGCTAACAGACTAAAATGGTTGGGGCATATTGAAAGAATGTCAGAAGACAGAGAAGTAAAAACTGTATACACCTGAGAGAGGAATGGGCGTAGACCACGAGGCAGACAAAAAAAAAAAAAAAAAAAGAAGATCGACAGATATGTCCAACCAGACCTGCAAACAACTGGTGTCACAAATTGTGAAGAGAAGGCCAGCCAGAGAGATGAATTGAGACGAGTGATATTTGCAGCAGTAAACCTCAAGGGCTCAGAATGCTAAAAAAGAAGATGACTATTCTGTGCTACTTTATGTGAAGTAAAAGTTAAGCGTACATTTGATATTATGAATGTGTGTGTGTGTGTATATATATATATATATATATATATATATATATATATATATATATATATATATATATATATATATATATATATTATACACTATACACTATTCCTATTCGTATTCGGCCGAATAGTTGGTCCCGTTATTCGTATTCGGCCGAATAGTGAAAAATCACTATTCGGTACAGCCCTAGTTGTAACCCTAAGGAAGTTTTGCTGACAGCTCAGTTATCCATGATAGGTACAGGTTTGTCCCTACCATCTGTTCGGCATTTCTCTGTATTGTAACTTTCTTCTTGTTGTTGTATATGAATGCAGTGACGAATCACTAACCTTAGAAATGCTGACTGTTCTTAAGAGTACGGCACACGTTTTAAGTGAACACCAGCACTTGGCGGCAATTTGAGCTGCCACTCAGCTCCAGCGATCTCGGTTAGCAGAAATAACTATGTAGCTCCAGCAGGCATTGCTTGGATTTTTAGGTGATGTAATTCGCGATATTTTGTTACTGACTGGTGTATGTAAAAGTTAAGGACACCGTCCACCCTTTCAGGCGTGATGTTCATATAGGGCTAGACTTGTATGTTATAGATCTGTTAACATTCCATAGGTCATGAGGAAAAACCACGCCGACTGCCTTTACTTCCCAGAACTTTACTGTGATGTGCGATCGGGTGCTGAGAGGCGTAAGTTCCTATTGAAATGTGTAATCAGGTACAAACAAATACATCTTAACTTAGAAGAATACAATGCCACCAGCCAAGTGTGGCAGAACAGTGTGAACTTCAATGCTTCCAAACGGCAGTTAACGATGAAGACTAGGGGATGTGTATTTGGTGTATTTGTTGACAAACTTGATCAATGAATGAGAAAATTTGAAAATAATAGGACTCTCGGTGAAGACTCACTTAAACACGCCAACACAAGCTACCGCACTCACGCACTTAATTACTTCGAACGACATCTTCAATTCAAATGACAGGTCAACAGTCCGACCTTGAAAGTCCGGACGGTCACATCGATCTCCTACTTCTGCAGTCTGAACAGGGCAATGTCCCTGTTTAATGATTTGGCCTGGAGAATCCTTCCTTAAAGTATACCGGCTTCTTGCCGAGCGCAATAAACAATGTACCAGCTTTCAGCTGTGGTTTCTGGTGGAGTCCCGGGGTAGAGCGTCCTCAAGGATCCACTGAGACACGACTACACGTCTGTCTCTTTCAGACTGTATACACCGAATGCTTAGACTGCAATTCCTTAACAACATTACGTATTGTTTTGACGTCCTATTTGCTCACTCAGTACTGGTGCGTTTTAGTGCATATCCGCACGCGACATTTACATAGCACCCATTTTAAGGTTGGGTAGACCTGGGAGCCAATGTTATTTTTGCAGCAAAAAAAAAAGGTCTGCTAAGTTCACAGCTGCAGATTTGCTAAAATACTTTGTTTCTCTCCCCCCCCCCCCTTTCCCCCCCCCCCCCCCCCCCCGCCTCCTCCCCACCCTCTTTTATGTCTCACTTTATAAATGAAGTTTGTACAAATAAAAATGAATTAGCTTGGATTTGGTGGTCTCATCTGCAGAAACTATTGCTCTCTGGTTAATGGACCACAAATAACCAGGCAAAAAGATTCTATCGACACACAGACTTGCCTTAGACCAGACAATACATCTGATTATAGTTCCACAACATCGATACCGTTCGTTTTAAAGGCACATGTAGACAAGTACAGACAGTGGCTAAAAAGTTGGCGACCGTTTGTGAATACACAGACATATAGTCAAATAAACAACAAACAGACCAGTTTGGAATTACTTTTACTTACATAAATTTTTTTTTTATTCTTCATCCTTATTTTACATTCCTTTCTCTTGCTCCCCTTCTACGTTGTCTTGTACATATTCTCCTCCTCCGCCTCCACTTTATGTTACCTTTTTCTTTCTGTTTTTTTTTTTTTTTTGTTATTCTGCGAAATGCAATTCTGAAGAATAAGATCTAACAGTGTGGCTCTTCTCATTTATAGCAGAAGTTTTTCTTCTTTTTAAATACATTTTTAAAACCAATATTATCATGTCACCATTTGAAATTTTCAGAGAACAATGGGAACCAAATATTTCTTCTTTTTAGTGTTTGGTGCTCTTTTGAGACCAATTGTGTCTCACCAGTTAGTGCACCACAGATAAAAAGATAAAATCAATATATATATATGAAGCCCAAAATGGCTGTATTGACAATAAAGGTTTTTGTTTTATTTATCTACTATACACAGGAAAAACACACGAGATTGACATATGCCACGAAGAAGGCGACTTCCGTTGTGCTGCCGAAGAGCTCATCTCCTTGGCCGGTGTTGAGTGTGGGGGTGCTAAGTCGTGTTCAGCTGAAATCAACAAGATGTTGTTCGATCTTTGTCAAGGACAACAGACCTGTTCAACCCTGAGCATCGGGCTCATGGTCACCTCCAGCTGTAGACAGGATGGTACGGGTTCAGTCCGAGTCAGGTTTCATTGTGTGCCAGGTAAGTCGATTTTTTTTAAATCTTTTATTAAAACATTTTCATGAAATTATTCTGAAAATTTTTTTTTTTTTTTTTGTTACCACTCTTTAATCTTAAAATAGTATTAATCAAGCATTTTCTATCAAGACAAATCGAAAAATCAATTTAAAATAGTTTCTGAAAAACAGCAAGTCGCTTCTGCTTCTTTTTCTTCGCTTTCGCCGAGCGAAAGATATGGTTGTTTTTCGTTCTCTAGTCAATATTCAAGTCTTATGTGCTTTCATATCCAATGCTGGTAGCGTTCTCTTCATGAGCTATATCATCAGCATCATTTGCCCTGCCAACTGGCGTAGGCTCTCATGCGTCTCCACAGATCTCGGTCCCTAGTTGACTGGAACAGCTCTCTTGATGATATCCCTTCTTGAGATCGTTTTAGCCCATCAAGCATCATCCCTCTTTCTCTGCCTTTACCCCTTTTTCCACTGATCTTTCCAGTTGTCACTATGTTCTCCAGGGTTTCCCTTCTCATAATGTGGCCAAAGAACAGCTTTTGTCTCTTTTTTATTGTTGTCTATAGAGATCTACTTTCATTAGCCTCTTTCAAACAATAGTTGTTAGTTACTCTGGCCGTCCAAGATATTCGTAACATTCGTCTCAGAAACCACATCTCTGTTGCTTCCAAATTCTTCTTAATTTGTACACTGACATTCCAAGATTCGCTGCCATACAGCAGAACAGGTTCTATGTAACATTTTAGCACCTTCTTTCTGACATTAAATGAGAGCGATTTATTGCATAAGATATTTTTCGTTTTTTGAAAAGCAGCTTTCGCTTGACCTGTTCTGCTTTTAATCCGTGTCACACATTTTCCATCTGATGTTTACAAGCTTATTCCTAGAATGTTTGTGGGGAGTACTCAGGGACGGTAGGGAACATACTGATTAAAAAAAAAACCGGACTGTCAGAGTGAAAAGAAACGTATCGTTAGCCTAGGGTGGTGACGTCACGTCAAGCTGATGACGATGGCCTCATGGCTCTATCTGGAGAAAGCCTTGATCGGCACGTGTGGGTCCGCGCCTCTGCATTCCAGCAAGTATCTGAAACTGAATATTCGGGACTATTTGAAATGTAATAGTGGTTTGGCATTGACAGTGTGAACGGTGTCCACTGTTTCAATATTAGACAGGGAAGCACTTTCGTTAACCGATTGGCGTCTGTGGCTTACGTGTTGCAAACGCAGTTTTATAATTCCAACGCTCGTGTTCAATTCAGTTGCCACTTAAAAATAGAGGGTGGGGTAGTGGATAGGGTAACAGACCGTCTACATCCCTAACCAGCATATTGTTAAATGTGACTAGGTCAGGGCTTGTTGAAACTGAATTTAGTATGAACGTGGATGTTTGATGTCACGCGTCAAAGCATGCTTAAAAGTCCCCCGTTCTCTAGCTAATACTCCAGCCCTATGTGCTTTCATATCCAGTGCAATTTCAATGTCATGTAAATGTCTTGTAGACCTTCCGGGAGGTCTGTCCCGGTCATGATTTTTATGGAAACTGTATCTTTCATTGCCTTTTTTCTCAGGACATCACGAAGTTGAATACGGCCCAAAATGCCACAGTTTACATGACAGGATAGTGTTAAAGTGCCAGTTCTTCTTGATGTTTAGATCATTTCAGATGCAAATATATTTTGTATTCTTTGGTCCTTGATATTCTAAGAATTTGTTTTATTCTGTAGCATGTCAGTTCAAAAGCTCCGATTAAAAAAATTCAAATTCCAGGAGAGAAGTATCGTTTTCTATATCTCTAGGGTGGTCATAGTCTCACAAAATTAATAGCATTTAATGTTAATAATCTTCGTCAAAACTTTTTAAATTTTAGTGTTAGTTAACATTATAAGTGTATGGTTTTGAGCTTTTAATATTTCATTTGATTAATTCGTAGTATTTTTATTTTATTTGTTACATGTTTACTAATACCAAAATGTAAAACATTTTAAATCTATCAAGATATGATCAACTTCTTCATTTTCTCTTTTCTTTTGTGGTCTCACTGGTTGTAGCCCAGATTCGTGGTTTTCTGTATCTGTCTTGCGCTTCTCGGGTGGGCTGAGCGGTGGATTTCTTCATCTTTTTACAGGTTTCAGCTACACCATTTATCCATATCTTTCCTGGTCTTCCTCTCGTCTTCCTCCTAGATGTTCTAATGTAAAAAGTATCATATGCAGTCTGGTCTGTCTGCATTCTCACTTGATGGCCGAACAATTTCATTCTTTGTCTGTCAATATAATCCAGACATGTTCTTATTCCAACTTCCTCTCTAATGCTGGTAACATAAGTAAAATAAAGATCCCTTTTCACGCCTTTAGGCGTATTGGGTATAAGGGGAGCACCCCCATTTTTACAGACTATCGCACTTGGGGGGTAATGTGGTCAGCATTATGCCAGCCGTCTTTACTTTCCCAGGACAGCCATCCTGGTACCTATTTTAGGCTGGGTCGACCTGCGACGCCCCATACTATGATAAAAATTCACGCAGCTAGCAGTGGGTTTCGATCGCGGTACGCTGGAATTACGAGTCGGACTAACAACGCCTAAGCCACGGACGCCGCACTGAAAATATAAGGTTAGTTGCATATCCTTTACAGGACGTTGCAGAACTAAGGCTGTTGTGTGGTTTTACTAGGCAAATTTACGTCCAGTAGTTTGCCATTGCCTCTGGACGGTCGGCTTTATTGATACCACTGTCGAAACCAACTCAAGGCGCAAGGCCGGCAGCTGGGATCGAACCCGGCATCCCGATATTACGAAGCGTTCGCATCGACTTAGCCACAGAGCCGACACTGAAAATATAAAGTAGGGATAAATATGCTAATAATCATTTGCTGTTTGGGTGTCTGAGCGAGGGAGAGGGGGGGGGGGGGGGGGTGGGGGGGGGGGGGGGAGAGAGTGGGGGGCTAATTTGTAGGTGACAGTATTTGCCTTCTGTACTCCGACTTCTTTCTCTCTGTCGAGTCAGCCATCCCCCGTGAATATGCTTAAACATATCAGATGTTTATGTTTGTTTTAGTATCCAGAAGCCATGAGTTGTTAACCCTTAGGCTCGGTATTATGGATATCGCAACCTTTGGGCCTTCCATTTTAAATACCGTAAATCTGGGAGAAATGTGGCTTTTCTGCCCACCCCCGGGAGTAAGCCCGGACCACAAGGAGTGCGTCACCCGCTCACCGCGCAATCCGGTTTAGCCAACTACGCTAGAGAGACGGGCAAACATATCAGATCAACAATAAATTAGAAATTATGATCTAAAAATCTATGAAAGGATAGCTCATGAAAATATAGCATGTCATTTCTTTGTCTTCTTCGCGTTCACTGGCTGTAAACTCCGGCAGAAAGTCATTAATGTTTCTCAGCTACTACTACTATGACGACGAAGACTACCGCTACTACTACTGCTGCTGCTGCTGCTGCTGCTGCTGCTGCTGCAACAAGTGTTACTGCTAAAATTACTACTACTACACAAACTACTTTTTTTTTCTTCCTTGTTGTTCTCATTCTTCCTCCCTCTCTCCCTTTCCCTTTCTTTTGTGTCAATTTTTTTTTACGCTTCTTCTTCCTTTTCTCCTTCCTACTCCTCATCGCACTCCTCCTAATTTCCCTCTTCTTTCTCCTCTTTTCATTCAAAATTGTCATGTTGTTACTCTGAACTGAAAGATTGCATCTACCCCTAGCCTCTATATGACTGAACCGGTTATGAAAACATTATAAATCGGTTTTGTCCATTAATGCATTGTAGAAAAATTATAGGGTAGAAGAGGAAATTACGACGTAAACCACAATATCCTGTGTGTCGGTCTTCTCATCTCATTTAAGACGAGACATGATTAATGTGTTCCCAGCTTGACAATCACATTATAGCATCGATTACTACAACTATATAGTAAAATATTGGGTGTGGGAGGAGGGGGTGGGGTTCGCGCCTCTCTGTGTTAGGTCCGTTTCGCCATAGAATAATCATCATTGGGTACCTGATATGGCCATTCTCATGTCGCTAACTCTGCAGTACATTTTCTATAGGCAAATTTTCGATCTCCACCTGAGTGGGTTTTGGAAAACATAATCTTAGGCGCTAGAACCTGGAGGATGGTGCATCTCGATTACCTCCCTCCCCCCTCCCCCTTTTTTTCCCCACCCTTCTTCTTTTTTTCCCCAACTGCCATATGTCCCTGTACATAATCCTGATGTTCGCAGGAAATTCTGTGTGTATATGTCTCTGTACACAGTCATGATGTCCGTATGTAAGTCTGTGCGTATGTAATTCTTTGTGTGTGTCCCTGTACATAGACATGATGTCCGCAGGTAATTCTTTGTGTGTGTCCCTGTACATTATCATGATGTTCGCATGTAATTCTTTGTGTGTGTCCCTGTACATTATCATGATGTTCACATATAATTCTTTGTGTGTGTCCCTGTACATTATCATGATGTTCGCATAAAAATTGTTATGTTTCCCTGTACAATATCATGATGTTCGCATGTAATTCTTTGTGTGTGTCCCTGTACATTATCATGATGTTCGCATGTAATTCTTTGTGTGTGTCCATGTACATTATCATGATGTTCGCAGGCAATTATGTGTGTGTTCCTGTACATAATCATGATGTTCGCATGTAATTCTTTGTGTGTGTCTCTGTACATTATCATGATGTTCGCATGTAATTCTTTGTGTGTGACCCTGTACATTATCATGATGTTCGCAGGTAATTCTCTGTGTGTTTCCCTGTACATAATCATGATGTTCGCAGCAAATTCTTTGTGTATGCGTCTCTGTACATAATCATGACGTCTGCATGTAATTTTTTCTGTATGTGTCCCTGTACACAATCATGATGTCCGCGGGTAATTCTTTATGTAGGTAACCCTGTGCATAATCGTGGTGTCCGCAGGTAATCGTGCTATCTAATGGGCGCAGTGGTTAGACGCTGGTCTGCATCCGATCGTCTTAGGTTTAAATCCACAGTG